AATGAATATGCAGCTTGCTTCATAGGAAGTTCTCATTCCTGGATGATTCTAACTCACTGCACTTTGTAAAGCCCTGAGGTCAGGTAAATTTCTTTGCTATAAGTGAATGAAAAGAACTTGGCATTCCTCCAATCACTGTAAAATGAAAAACATTGAGATCTCTCAGAGCAATTTGTTCTAGCAGAGTGCTCAGGCTATGGGACTTGAGCACAATCCTGCAAGTCAAAGCTTTGCAAACAAAGCCCTGTATTTATAGCAAAACTTCTCCTCCCAGTGTTGGAATTCCAGCTTAGAAGTGCCATACAAGGACCCAGCTCTGCTGGGAGATGCTCCTATTTCCTACTGTGCAGGGAAGTGGTGTTCATGGCAACATTCTACCCAGAATCCTGGAGCCCAGGTAGTAGATGGAGACTGTGCTTGGGATCAGGTTTCTGTTCTTAAAAAAAACAAGGAAAGGAAGTCCACACCCAAGGGAGTGTGTAAAGGTGGCCTCAGTGGGCTTTGATTTTAGCTCCAGAATTTGCTTGCCCCCAAGACCAACTAATAAATCTTACTACAAAGCAGCTTTGTCCTTTGCAGTCGTAGGAAACCATTGCTGCTCTGCCACTGCTTTGCACAGCATCCAGCATGAGGAGGGAAGAGGTGAGAAGGGTGGGAGAATATTTGTTGTTGTATTTGTGTTGTATTTTGTTTACAGGGGCAATCACTATGCTCAGCAGGCCAAGCACAGTGTAAAGATCATAAGAAGAACTTGCCATGAATTAAAAATGAACAATTGTTAAAGATCCCATTTTCCTATTCTCTTGGCAGCATGCAGCACAGCAAGGTAACTTTTCAAAGCAAGCCTCAAAAGTTCTGACAATATATAAAATGCAGAGCCTGACCTGTTCAGCATTTACACAGTTCACTGATCAATTAGGATGCAGCACTAAACAGCAGTGCTTGGAGCACAGATATTCTCCACCTTGGCCCTCTTTGACCTCCTTGTGCAGTAATGAATTTTCTTCCTGCTTGCCCTGCAGAATGGATCAACCCTAATTATTCTACAAAAGACCAACATTGACCTAAATTTATTAGAAAATTGAGGGACTGCCATACTAAACTGAAAGTCTGATGTCACATCAAAGTTAGCTCCTGGCACTGTGTCCCTGCAGCCAGGGCTGCACTGCAGGGTGGCTCTCTCGGACTGGAACCTGCAGCCTCGCAGGGAATCGACACCACAACGCTGTCAGCAGTCTGCTGTCCTCCTGTCTCTGCTGTGGGGTCCCAGCACCCTCCAAAGTCACATCTGAGGTTTCACTAGAGCTGCTGAGTGCACAAAGGTGAAAGACAGCATCCACAAAGCCAACCTTCCAGGACAGCAGGGTGTATCCATAGGCACAGTGCACTCGACTCCCAGAATGGAAGTCTGAGGATCACTGAGCATGAACTTCATGTTGGGAGACCAGGGCTCAGAAGAGACCTTGGACAATTTATTCACCTCCTCTGTATCACAAAAACTGAGATCATTTTCAGCCGCTCTATTCCAGAATCTAGTCTTAGATTAATTTAAAGCTAGTGGCTACAAATGTATTTCCATGTACAACTTCCACCAGTGTGAAGCCTAGATTGCAAGACTCAATTAAGTATATAGGTAGGATCCAGTCAAGAGAAGTTAATTAAAACCCAATCATAAATCACTGTAATTAGAAATAAAATAAATGTGAGAAATAGCCATAATGAGAGAGCTGTTCATGAATACAGAAGAGACAAATCATGCAAATGGATCTCAGTGCAGAGGTCGTGCATTGTCCTGTGAAGTGAATTTCCCAATATCCAAGTTACAGCCAAAGTGTTTGGAAGCATAAAAGCCTCTGTGGCTTTTTGTTCCATTTTTTGGTGCCATGCCTGTCCTTGTACATGCCCAGAGCAGTGGCAGCTTATGAATACGGTCAGTCTGGGCTGATGCACATACAACCATTCTATTTAAAGTAGTGCACTTTCTGAGGTGTTGCTGGGACTGAGAGCTGAGCTGGGGGACAGAGGCAGCTGCACAGCAGATCTGTGGTACAGCAGAGCTCCTTGCTGGGAAAATCCTGTTGTTTTATGTATGATATGGGACTATGGCTGGAACATCAGATGTGTAACATAAACACAGCTCACTGACCCTGCGCAGTACCACTGCTGCAGCACTGTTCTGCCATGCAGGCAGAGGTGCCTTGATTGGGCAGTGTTCTTTCTGGGAATTGATGGGAAATCATGATGTTCAGTGAGTGAAATATCTTTGCATGGAGGGTCATTCAAGTGAAAGGTGTCAATTCTATCCAAATTACAAAGAATTATTACAAATCCTGTTTCTAGGACAGATTTTTTTTTAAGAAACAAACATTCTACTTATTGAACTAACAGCATTAAAATGCATTGGTGAGTCTGCCTAAGAATGAGATCCTGAGCTAGCCTAAACCTCTGCTCCTGCTGGACCCAAGGAGATGCTCAAACACCAGCAGGTCGCATTTCTAAAGAAATCTGAGAACCCAACAAGGTCACAAAACAATACAGCCTTAGAGGTGAAGGATGTCAAGGCTTGGGTTTAGGTTTTGCACCTCTGGTTGAGTCTAAGGACTTCAAGAGAAAGACAACACTGCCAGATGCCCAGCTCTTACTATGAGCCAAGCACCCATCCTATGAAATTATCAACAGTAAATCCCTGGTACAGGGAATTAGAGCAGTAGGACTCAGACATGCTATACAGCCTCCTAAAGGGCCCTTAAACAGCATTTGGAATACTCATTTCTCATCTGGAATATTGTTTATATTGTAGTAGTACCCTAAGACCTGTTAGGATTAGAGTTCTATCATAGTAGATTCTGTATAAACACATAAGGAATTATTCTCTGTGCCTTCTTCCTCAAGCACCTGCAATTTCACTGGAGATGAAGCTTGGAAAATACTGGAAACTGCCCTAGTGGGAACTCGTAGGCTGCAGCAACGCAGATGTACAGTCCAACAGCTCTGAAATGCTGACACCTTTAGAGCAACTATATAGTGCATATCAGCAGTATCTGCATCTCTATGAGCTATCAGCTCTACCCTTTTAGAGAAGGAACTACTTTGAGTTAAACTGCAAAGTATTTGAAAGCATTTTTTTTCAAACTCTTAATTCTGTCTTCATTAGTGGTTGTTTTACAGTGGAGTAATGAAGCAGGAAAATTATGTACTTAATATACCAAGTAGCTATTTAAATTCATGTGCTGCTCAGCTCCAAATCTAATAGAATTTGTTTCTTTTTATTTTTGTCAGCTTCTTTGCTGGGGTGTATCAATGTACCATTCAGGGGGTGATGCCCACTTCCATCAGATAAGAGCACTTCATGGTATTATCTACCTGCCCAGAGGAGGTGGTAAAAATATCTGACTCCCATGGGTCATTCCAGTCTGCAGAAATAATTAATAGTAAAGTATGATATCTTTTACACAATCCTGTTTGCTTTCAAATTATGCACAAAGCCTTGTTTCGCTTCACACACCAGGAACGAAGCAGCAGGAGAGAGCTCCAAGTCCTGTTTTAGCCAGCAAAAACCTGCATTCAGCATTTTCTCAAGGCTGTGCTGCCAGTGCTCGTCTCTGGCTGCTTACACAGACGATCTGATGCTGCTCTGCCAGGGCACAGAACAGCACCTTGTGAAGTCCCTACAGCTCCTCTGAGTGGTGAATTCAGCTGGTGAATGTGGGGTGGGTGTTTTGCCATATGAAAGGGGACATCAGGTGCTGCTGCTGCTGCTCTACTTCCCCAAAATGCAGCACAGCACAAAGGCTTGCTGTAGCTAAGCAGTGCCTGGATTTCACCCAACATGTAACAACACAAATTATACTTTCTATACAGCAAATTGAAGGAACAGGCAGAGGCACAATCCTGGGTGGCTTTCAGGTCACCAGGACCTTGCTGGGGCGTTGGGGTGTGAGCAAGTATGGAGAACATTGCTCTGATACTGACAGGACCCACCTCTGCAGCCCCTGATCCAGCCTTGCTATGTCTGAAGCCTTTCCCCTTGCCCTGCCTGACCCAGAGCAGTTTCATTGCAGCCCTGTTAGCTAAAAGGCCAATATTTTGGCACTGTAACCATCTGACTGAGGCTCTCACACACAAAAAATTGAGGCACTCAGCTGCCTGGCACCAAAATACAGGCAGTTCAAAAGCACAGCCTGGCATGTGCTGCTCCTTTGTGTTCAGCTCTGCTCTTCTCCTGACACAAAGCACTTCAAGGTTCAAACCTTGTTGTTGCCTTTATTTATATATTTATTTTTTTATTGTTGTCATGTATTGTCACCATCCTAGTTCCATTATAGCCCACATGCTGAGGCAGCATCCCACTGTTTTACTGCTAGTTCCCAGACTGTGGGCTGCATCTCTCAAACATGCACTCGCATGCACAGAAGTCAACCCTGAACGAGCCTGCGTGACCCTGTGCAAGTTGTTTCAGGACCACAGATTCCTCACCACCCCACTCTGCTGTGTTTTGCACATAGAAGACATTTGCATTCAGGTAAGTCTTTAAAAGCCTTTTGCATTTGTTAAAGAGCCATCATCAGAAAGGGGCTGTGAATCAATGTGCTAAGGGTGGGATATATTGATTTCTCTCTGAGGTTTATTTGCAGTATGGCTGAGAGACCTAATATTACGAGACAATAAATTGAGCCATCTCCCCACTCAGGGGCAGCTTGGAGAGGGATTCACAGGTGCAAGTGAAGCAAAACAAAGCAGGCACAGTGTTACCTGCAGCCAAGGCAGAGAGAAACACACCAAAATCCAGACAAGTGGCAGGAGCAGCAGCAGATTAGACCTGCAGTAGAAGCCCCTCCATGCAGCACACCACAGGAAACAAGGCAACTCTTTTTGTTGTTAAAACTGGGTATTTCCCTTGTTACATTGGCACCATGGGAAGAGCCTCTCCATGCTGCTCCAGCAGCTGCTGCTGGCACAGCCCAGCCAGGCCTGCTCAGGGCCCCAGCAAGGGGGACAAGGGCAGGACAGGGCATCTGACCCTGCCCAAGGGCCTGGCATGGCGAGGGGTCTCCTCCTGGTCCCCGGGCAGAGGGGACGGCCACAGAGAGCCCCCCAGAGACAGCCCCTCAGCCCTGTGCAGGAAAAGCACCTTTTTAATGTTCCTTACCTCGGTTTTCCTTCACTCAGGAGTGCACCAGGGCCTTCCTCCTGAAGGCAGCTCTGGTAATAGCAACGAGCTGACCACAAATGGCGTTCGGGGAGTTACCTCAGGTAAAGCCAGGGGTGCCTCATCCATGAGGCCACAGATCTCCTGTGTTCCTCCCTCACACCCATCTCCTCAGCTCCCAGGATGTCTCCTGCCACTCCAGGGCCCCCTTCAAAGGAAAGGACAAGGGCAAGGACATGCCAGAAAAAACAACATGGGCCAGTAACAAGACTGGGGGAAAAACTTTCCCAGTCCCTTAGACTGGGTGGTCCTGTTTCTTGCACATCACTGCTTTTTTGAAGGGAAAATTGTGGTGTTTATTGTTTGCTCAGTCCTGGAGGAAGGGTTTGGAAGAGGCACCTCACTGTGCCCAGATGGACATGCCATCTCCTTTCAGTGAGCCACAAAGGCCAAGAAAACCGGCTCCAAGATCAGCACAGGGGACACACTTCAACTGCTCCCACAGGGAGGCAGAAATGCTGCCAGGGGCTGAAATGTATTGGGCTGTGCAAATGTGGGCTTTAGTCTGTTGCTTCAGGAAATTAATTTCTACCGAGTTTTACAGTTTCCCTCTTGCTCCCTGGGCCTTGTGATGGTCATTTGTCACCACTGCTCTGAAGAAAGGCAATTTTCAGGAGAGCAATGAGGCATTCGACAAGCTCTCCAGTTAAGTGTGGAAACATCACACTGTCAAATAATAGAGCTGTAAAAGCAGCAACACCTCTCCAAGTTGTATGGTCACATCTCTAGTGATGAAACCTCCTTTTGTTACATCAAAAAAAAAGCTCAGGGAAGATATTCTCCAGAGCAAGGAAAAAAATAAGTAGGAGAGGATTAGACACTCACAGACATGCAAATAAATTTGTGTGGAAATCAGAAACCCCTTAATAAAGTCAAATTTTGCAGCCCCACCTCAGCCCAGCCTCCCTGCAATGGTTCAGCCTTAGGTTATATCCTGGTGATAGTATTGCTTTGCCAGTTTGATAATCCTCCTTTCCATGTACTCCAATTTACATAACTGATAGACAAACCCTGCCAATGACAATTGCTACAAACTTTCCCAAAGCCTATATTGAATGAGCTTTTCTTCCCAGGCAGTCTAGGCCTGTGTTGAAATCCTGCAGCATTTCCTCACAGAGCAGCTGAGTTCTGCCTGACATAACCTGCAGGTGTTTATGTAGTGCAAGAAACAGGCACAATGAAACCCTTTTTGACCTTGTTGAGTAAAGGGATTGCAAAAATTTATAAATATTCTTTATTCTTTATTTCAGGAGCTATTAGTGAAGAGTGACCAATCTCCTTGCCACTGAAAGAGAATAGGATTCCCTCTCAGCAGAATGGAAACATGCCTTCCTTGTCCTGGTAACCTCCTAACCCTCTCAAGTCTTCTGCTCTCCCATTTTCCCAGCTAAACTCCTCCAACACAAAGAAGATTTAATTCATAGTCTGGATAGCACACAGAGGTCAGTGAGAAGATATAACATGGTGTATGTTACAGTAGGAATTAACACCCTGGCTCCAGCGGAGAGTGAAATCTAAAAGGAGGTGCAGCCTCCTTCAGTCAACACTTCCTTATCACCGCTTCTTGTCTTTCTAGAAATATCCTGCTCTTCTGGCTCTTCATACAAAAAATACTCCTGCTCAGGTAAAATAAGCCAGTTTTGTAGTTATGTGGGAGTAATTATAATATATGTGGGTGTCAATCAAATGGCAACAGAACTGGTTTAACTGGCACACTGCAGAGTCTGGCAGAAGGCACAAGTGACACGAGTTTTGGCTCAGTTGTGAAGTTACCATTGTCACCTCCATCATAGTTTACTAAGATATCTCTATGTTTTCACTCTTGCTAGCCAGCTCTTTCCAGTTCTGAATGGATAAAATATAGGGCTTATTTCCATGTTGCCTTGTGCAGTTCAAGATCTCATTTTGTAAAGCTCACAAATTACAGCCTTTCACATTTACCTGTTCTTTCACTTGCATTGCACCAGTAAAAGGCTAAAGTCCAAGGTAAAGTTTGATGTATGTGATAAATAGGAAGATGTTGACCTCAGACATCAGAATTGTTTCCTTTGGGAGCTAAAGAACTTCACAGCCCCCCAGTCTCCTATCCAAACTATCATCTGTGCATTCTCCAGGCTGGCTGTTCAGGAACAGCCAAAGCAAATCCCATTTGTAGCACAGCTGAGAAGAGATGCAGAGACACACTGAGTCCCTCATGCCAGATGCTAAACAGCACACCTGTAGTTACAGGAAGATGCTCTGACACTGTTTTTGGAGGTTTTGTAAGAGGCTATGTGGAGAAACATAGAAAAATTGAGATCCAGAGTGCTCATAATGATGTGATCACTTCTTCCTCATGTCCCTGTTTAACTTGTCACCAAATGAAATGTTTTCTACTCTAAGTTTCTGACATTCTGTCTACAGCTTGGGGTGTAAAAGCCACCTCAGGGCAGCCAGCATTTTGCATAGGTTTTGCTCATTCTGGTTGTCTCCAGAAGAGATCTGGTCTGACTCCAAGCTAATTTCTATTAAACATGAGGTTGAAAGATGGAAAGAAAACAAAAATATCAAAAATATCAAAATAAAATATCAAAAATTAAAGTAGCTGCCCGGAGGAACTAAGTGGCTGAACCTTCAGATTTAAAGCTAGAGATCATCTGCGGCCTTAAATCAGTCCAGAGAACATTTCTGAACTCTTGAGGGAGTAATGTGTGTGCACATTAAAACTCTAGCTTCCTCAGCTGGTTTATTCCCCAAACAGCCACTAGCTCAAAAATGGTCCTGCAGTACCTGAGTGCATTGAGTTTTTAATCTGGATCCTTACAACAACTGAGAACTTGAAACAATGAAAAGCAGGAATAAGATGTGTTGGACTTGCTCCTATTCCTAGTCACAGATTTTTTTTTTTTCCTAGCTGCTTTAATTTCAGCAAAAACTGGATAAGTTTCAGAAGCACCAGTTCAAACTGGGACAATGCTTAAGCAGGTACCGGCTTCACTGGGGTGGGGGAGCCTCAGACTTTGAGCTGAACACATCCTTAGGTGTGATTGCAAGCTGAATATCATTATATAACTGCATGAGAAGGGAATCCATCCCTCTAATCTCAGACATCTGTAGAAGTGACACCTTTTTTGCCCAGGGCAGTATTATGGGTTGTCTCAGTTTTTATCTGTTTGCACTCTGAGCGAGATTTGTCACGTTTCCAGCTGTTCAGAACATCACGTCTCACACTGAAATGGCCATGAAACAAGACAGTGTTTGTAATAATTTAAAATAGTCACTTACCCCTAAGCAAGTCATTTGTCTCCAACCAGAACACCAGAGTAATAACCGGGATTAAAGATAGAGCAGTCAAGACAAAAAAAAGGTAAATCAATCACTGTATTAGGATATTTGAAGAATCGTTTGCATGTACTCAGAAAGCATGATACTTGCTATTGAGCCCAGCTGTAGCAGTTACAAATTCATAAATATTCATCAAATAACCTTTTAGCAAAACTCTGGGACTATGATGGTGGCCAGCTACTGAATTCAATCTAATTGAAAATCTGAGAAGTAATGAAATGATTGCATGTCTGTCTCTTCATTAAATCAGTGTGCAAATTTGCATAGATTAATTTGCGTCAAATTAATAGCTCCATTCTTGGCTTGGAGCCAAGAGGACTTATGATCAATCTATAGTTTTAATTCAATTCTGCAGTCTTAAAATGTTGGGTGTCTTTTGCTGTTTTAGAGACAGAAAATCAGAGCTGAATATGATTTTCACCACTTCTGTAATTTCTCCCCATTTCTTGGGTTATGATGATTAATTATAATGAAATGCGCATTATTTAGAAGCAAAAAATAAACATGCAGTCTCAGCCATGGAGAACTGAGGTCTGGTTTCCTTCTCTGGAAGTCACATTGGAAGGCTCAGCCCCTCAACTACATTGAATTCAAGCACAGGGTGGTGAATGTCTGGGGCTGAACAGGGTTTTGTGGCCCAGAGCAGTTCCCCAGACTGGTGGGGCCCTGTGCATTTCAGCACAGTCCTGCTTGTCCTTCACCAGGTTCCCAACCTTTCCAGAGGATGCAGAATTTGCTACTTGATCCTCACAACGTTTTAAATCTCTTTAAGTACTCTGATGTTCCATGTGCTGAGATCTGTCAAGAAAACAATTCCTTCAGCCTTCAGTTATTTGAAGTTAATAACAGCGATAGACAGTGCATACCATTTACATTGTCAGCTTGCTTTTATTTTTTAACCTACTTTTTTAAAAGAAAAACAATCAGGCTTTAATTCAGGACATTTGATTAATCAAACTCAGACCATCTGCTGCAGTCCTGTCTCCTGCTGATCTGCATTGCCTGAAGTCAGTGATATGATTCAGGGCTGCAGTCTCACACTGTCTCTTCCTCTGTCAGCTGTTCTACTGCAAATCTGCTGCTTTCACCCAACACACACTGACTGGGCTTTGTTTACTGTGATGACCATTTAGGATAGCTCTGGTGCTAGAAAATTTGTATCAAAATACAGGACATGTGCAAACACTGGTTATACAACAAATAGTTGTGTCTGTATGAAAATAGCACAAACTAAGGGAATCACAGCAAGCCAAAGAAATTCTTTACAAAAAAAAAAGAATCCCTTCACAAACACTTTTAGTAGCAGTGCAATTTTAGCTTCATCATAGTCTGTGTTTTAAGTCAGTAATGAATATCTGCCTTTTTTCCTCCTCTGTTCAGGGACGTACTCAGGAACTCAGAGCAAAGAGCTAGGCTATCTAAACTTGCACAGCTTGGGGGTTTTAATGGGATTAGATCAGTTTTAGTCTAACACAACATACCCTCACACTGGGTATGGCAGAGCTAAGAGCTGCAACTCACTCATGTTTGTGGGTGTATCCACTGCACTGACCAGATCTGTTGGGAAGGACAGAAAGGATATGGCCCTTCAACAAGTGAATCATCATGGGGATTCACAGCATTTTTCAGAGGCATGTGGGCATAAGCAGCATGCTTAAATGGCAGTAATGAACAGGATAAACTCAGTTTTGGTGGCATACAGGCCTCCTGCAGATGGATGAATGTCATCTCTGTTGACATTAGATGCTGGAGTCAACCTAAGAAGTCAAGTAGGAACAGCACCTGGAGAGTCAGCCCTCATTTAGTTATAAAAAGCAGCAGGCAGATTATCAGCATAGTGCACTAGATATTGAAAATTTGGTTATCTCATTTCCTGTAATTGCATGATGATAGAGTATCAAATCACTAGTTCCCAAAAAGCTGACCTGGTTTTCATTCTTGTCTTGCTGGTTACATCCAAGTTGCTTGAGCCTGTTGGGTTCCTGAATGTCTGAAGATGGGACTCAGCATGCAATTGTCAAGTCAGGAAACTCTCCAGGAGATTTATTGCTGCATTATCAGAGGATCAGGGCTCTGCTGAATGCAGCTTGGAAGAAACAAGCCATGTCCTGCCCTGGAAACATATAGGCTAAATAAACAAATTGAGGGAGGAAAATAGGAGTCTAGGAAGGTGAAGGTTACAAGAGGAGTGATACCATTCCTGTCTTCCAAGAAAGGTGTCCCAATTCATTGCACCCAGCTTAGAAGCTGCTTTACCAACAGCATCTGCAGCAAAGAAATGGACAGAAGTCTGCATCACAAAGACTACATGAGAATGCATGGGACTTTTGAACCCTAAGCATTAAAAACAAAATAAAAATGCAGTGTTGTTTGCTGTTTGCCACAACAGTAAACAGCAGAGAATATGGATCTCTCTGTACCTCCATAGCCAGTCAGAAGGCACAAGAGGCAAGCAAAGCACATCATTTCCAAAAGGGACGAGTTTTAACAGGCCAGGAAAGTACTACAAGCTTTGAGTCCAGAATCTCAAACAAAACAATCCAGGTAAAGTAAGTTTCTAGCAGTGGTCAGTTCCTGCCATGGGGAAGGCACAGCTCTGCACATCCCTGGAGTGAGGCAGCCCTGGCTGGTACCCATGGAGCTCCACAAGGAACTGCACACACTCCGCTCTCTGCAGGAACGAGAGATTTCTGACTGCCTTCAATAACAAGCATCCTCCAGCCACCACTTAATGCAATAAAGTGAATTTCATTTTGGCATAAGAAAAACCAAGGGAACAACATGATGTATTGGCAAAATTTTAATAATAAAAGGCCAAAGAGCCAGCTTAAAAGAGTTAGGCTGTTATTAATCGGGTCATAGTGATGCAGCATTTCAAAACAGGCTTAACACCTGCTAATTTCATTTCAGTGCTGCTGAAGCTGAGTCAGCTAACAAAGCCTCTTCTGGATCAAGCACGTTCAGAGCAGTACAGCAGTTCCTTGCCTTCATGAAAGTGCTTCCTCTCTTTGGTAAGAGCACTAAGAGGGAAGAGAGGAGAAAGGATGATCCCCTCCCTCCTTTAAGCCTGCCTGTGCAGCCAGAGCTGAGGGGAAGGAGGATAAGAAGCATCATGGTATTGAAGAAAATCCCTTAGATAAGGGCTATTATATTTGCTACACTGGTGAAAATGAGGGAGTGTTTCCCTTTCCCTCCAAATGGGCACTGAAGCAGCCCGAGTTTCCCAGAGCAGGTCAGTGAGAGCAGACACAGACCCAGGCCCTGATCCCTGCTACTGCAGCACACCACACTCTCATTGCCCTCTAACCCTCTCTTAAGAATTATCTTCTTGTTGCTCCAGTTACCTTTGCCCTGCCCTTGGCTTTGGGAAGACAATATTGATCCCTGGATTGCTGAAGTAAAAGCAAGATCCTGATGTGAAGGCAGCTGCCCTAGAAATGGAATGAAAACTGACACATCAACCAAGCAGTGTGGAAGCACCCAACCACTTCTTCCACTACCCACAACCAGCTCAGCAGGGAAAATTCCAGTGGGACCAGGCAGCCCTGGGCAACAAAATTGGTTCCTTTCTTCTTTATGAAGGGAACTGCGGATGGGAATATTCCATTCATAGTAAGCTCTGATCTTATCAAGAAGCCCAGGTCTGAGAGAAGTTCATCTGTTCCAGAGATCTGTTTTTCATTACACCCTTCTCAGTCCCATCTCTTCCATGTTCCTAGCCCTGTGTGTGCTGCTGTAGCTGCCATACAGTGCTATCAACACTGCTGTCCTGGGTGCTTTCTGGGCCCCAAGGACATCCACAGCCCAGATGTAGAGCTGGCCCAGATGTGGAGCCAGCCTGAATCTTCTGGGGCTCATTAGCAGAAGTAGAACATGGCTGGAATATGACAATACAGATGGCTTCACAGGACAATCCTGGCTCTGAGAGCAGCTCAGTAACTGCTGCTCACTGGTGAGAAGCTGTTCTGTATTAGTTCTGCTACTTGCAGAGTATCTTCTTGCAGTTCCCTGTGTTTATGAAAAGTTAAGGATTCAATAACTGGGCAGAGGATTTGAAGCAAATTTCACAATAAAAGGACTGTGGTAGGGCAAATCATTAATTTTCTTATTGCTTTCATTCTCTTTGGAGACAGCTTTCATCCCAAGGCTTACGATGAGACCACGGAGTCAGAATTTTGTAATGGAAGCAATTTTGCATCCCAACGTACAACATTTGCTATCAAATGCTAAACCTGTCTAATAGTTCAGTAGTTGGCAATACAGCATCCACCTCCTCCTCCTTGACAGAAATGTATAGTAACAGCAAGAAACACTGCAAATCAACCCTAATATACTGAAACAGGACTTACTTTACCAGGATTGGCACTTACTATAGGCTTTCTGCTCCATTTACACAGTACAAAAGACAACTGTGAAATGACTGGAAATGTAATATGGAAGAATATAATTGGTTTTGCTGGAGATAGATGATAGATAATCTTTTATGAAAAGCAACCATCAGAAACAAAGGTTGGATTGTCTTCTCAGTTTCACCAAGGTAAAGCAACCTGATTATGAGAGCAGAGAATACACCAGATATTTACTGTCCAGAGAGATTAGGCTGATATAAAGCAAGTGTTTCAAGAGGTAAATCTTTTGGATGCTCCCACAGTCCTTGCCAGCTGGAATTTGACATGCACATGTCTAACTGAGGTCCAGAATTCTCACAAAGTACCTGATTCTGATGGATTACTTGTGTTTTTCCAGCCAATAATTTCAGTGCTTATTGCTTTGTTGTTCAAATACAGATTTCTGCTGTCCTAAGTAGAGGAACTGCCTGAACGTCTCATGTGAGGTCCATTCCTAGCATCAAAACAAGGAACTTTGAGATTCTAGGCAAAGACCTCCACTTTTGCTTTCTGGTCATTTCATTAAAGTTAGTTAAGTGACAGTCCCCTGCCTTTGCAAGAATCCAGGGTTACAGGGCATAGAGCCCAGGCAGCCTTGCCTGGCTGCCACACACCTGAAATATGCAGTTAAGACACTGGGAAGAAAATGATTTCTATGCAGTGAGACACTGAGCCCTTTGTTCTGGGTCTTGAAGAAGCTCTGCTGTGAGCCAGAGGTCCTCAACAAGGCGAGTTACAGCAAATATTCTGGTCACCCCTCAGTCACTAGTTATAGGCTAAGAAACACTTCACTGCCAATTCCACATGCCTGACCCCCCAAGAAACTTAGAGTCACAACAAACTAGGTGAAGAGTTACTTCTTCTCCAAATATTTTGGGCTTTTTTCCCCCCCAAAGTTCTGATCCTATATAAGTTGTCTTTTCCTATACCGGGAGAAACCACCACAAACTGCTATGAACTCCAAGAGAAAACTGTTATAAATAAAAGGAAGAATTGAATAGCTTAGAAGTTCAGAATATTAGAAAGAAGCCACAAAAAAATCCTTTCTTATTTCAAGTGTAAAACCTGAAATAAATGTCCTTCATAAATGTGTCATATATCCCACAGCAGCAAGAAACAGCCCAGAGTGACAAGAGGGTGCAGCAGACACAAAAGGTCACTCAGGATCAAACATCTTTCTTCATCTGCACAATTTTTTGTATTTTCAGATCTGTCAGTACAGTACATGTTGAGCACTTCTGGAAAATCACTAGGTACCTCTCCCCCAAGAGCTGCTAAGTTATTTCATAACTTCACCCACTTCCCAAGAGATCATTATTTTATAGGCACTGTATCAAGGTTCAAATATAATGATTGTGGGCAGGAAGCCAATTGAAGCATGACAAAGAAAATTCCAGTAATACATGAATTAATTTGACCGTATGTCACTAAGCTTTACTGTATGCCTAAGTAACCCACTAACAGTAACTGTTTAATTTTACAGAAGATGATATGCAAACATGACAAAAAGTAAACACAAGTCTTATGGGTTTTAGCTGTCCATAAAGACAGGAGGAGAACTTCATCCCACTTTTACCTTTCTGGGACACAGACATACTTCCCTGGCAGATGGTCACAGAAGACTCATACAAGCCTAGGAGCAAACTGTGGGAAAACAACCCACTTGATCTCACCCACTTCAAAACTCCCACAAGTGAAACCTCTCAGCACCAAACTCAACCCAGAACTGCTGCTTACCCATGACTGAAGAGCCACACGTGTTCTAAGAGAGCTTCAAAAGTGCACAGTGCAGGAATAAAGGGAGAAATCCCCCTCAAACACACATTAGGGCAGCTACACCCCCTGAGCTGCAAAGCCACTGAAGCTGTAAAACATCTGGGACAGGTGTGGGGCAGGATGGGGACAGTGCACAGCTGGCAGTGATTCAGGGCCCTTCATCAGATAAAGATGTTCCCTCTCTCCCCCCAGCTTCTGGGAGAGAGATGGAGTGACCCAGATGAGGGATTGTTCACCTGGAGTAATTAATTACCTGGAGTAATTTACCCAATTCATAGCTCTCAGAGATGCAACCCCTCTTTAGATCCAGCAAGGTGGAGAGAGGAGTTCAGTGCAAAGGCAAAGGTGAACCTTCTGGAGTCTCTGTGCCTGGCTGTCCTATGCAGCAATTAGGAAAGCTGAAACAGAGGCAGTGGCTGACCTGATTTCCAGCTTGATCTTTGATATTTTATAGCCAGCAGTGCACCAGCCTGAGCTGCAGGACAGGCGAGGTGCAGTAATGAAACACAAGAACTCGAGCAGCCACACACATTCCCTTGGGAGATTTTCCTTCAGCCTCTATCAGAACAGACAAGATGGGAACGTGAATGAGTGTCCCATCAATACTACAGATCTGCCTGGGAGCAGAGAATTCCTCGGAGAAACAAGCTGATCTCTCTAGGGGAAGATTTCTTTTTTCAAACAACTTTTAAAGACCACATAACCCTTTGTACTTTAGGTACAATAGCTAAGCAATAATATTAATGCTTTGAATTTGAACTTCCCACCAGCAGTCCTAGCATGCTTGAGAAACACTCTAAGTGGCCCTTTCCAGAGCATCTATAGGAATTAGTAGTGTAAATTACAGAATCTGTAATGCTCTAAAAGGAATTGCATTCCTAATGTTACCTTCCTTCTTGTGGTTCTTGTGTGACTTTGGTGTAGTCAGGGCCAGGGCTCTCAGTGCTGGTAAAGCTGTGCCTAAAATGAAGAGCACTGAATGACTCCTTAAGAGGGAAATGCTGGTGCATATGAGATGTGATGCTCAGGGCTCCTCCTTAGGAAGTGCTGTCTTTCCCTGCTCCTCTGCAGGGTCACTCTGCTCCCTCTCTTCCCACTGGTGGAATAGCCAAGGCCACCGTGGGGGTTTCTCAGCCACCACTGCAGCAGCCAGGCACAGAGCAATCCTGATTTATCACTGAATTTAGGGGCAGTGAGCTGCTGCCTTCCCTCTGCCTTCCCTTATTGTGACAACCACAGGTAGAATCTCTGCTAGAAAAATGATTATCCACCACATACCAGTGGTTTTGGCTGCTCTGCTGGATCAGGGCTCTGCATGGTGCTGGGAGCTCTGGTGGGAGCCAGACCTTTGCCAGGCTAATTTATACATTTTGTCAGCATGCTGGAAAGGAGCCTTTGGATATATTTTCAGCTCATGTCAAAACACCACACATGTTTTTCTGATCCCAGCACTTACATTCTAAAATGCTTTAAATCTGCTTTCATATTTGATATTTTTAAAGAAGGCGTGTTTACATATACAGCACCATGGCGACAGAAAAATAAAGTCAAGGAAAAAGTGCGCTAGTGCATCAAACCTGTTTAGAACACACACTCAATTAACATATCTAAATTAATCAGTAGGATTTGGATGTCCTGTCACTACCATTTCAATCAATAACAGGATAGGTATAATGATAAACTCCCATTACAAATACCTTACAGGTATTAAGGTCTCTGTCCAGTCCATCAGCATCCACCATATAATTAACCCCAGAGAATAAGGATCAATCTTTTCCTCCAGAGCATGTTCTCCAGGATCTTCCCCCCATCACAAGCCTCCAGGCTCTGACTGTGGTGTTACAGCACAAACCAGAGCCCACGTGAGGGGCTCTGTGCACGTGAGTGAGCTGCCAGTGCTCAAGGAACATGAGCAACACAAGTACACTCATTTTAAAACATGAACATTTGCAAAACATAAATAAATGTCCTTAAAAATTTCCCAGGCATCTAAGCAAAAAATTACTTTCAAGACAGTTCTATTTTAAAACAAGAGAAACACAGGAAAAAAGTAAGAATAATAATAATAAACAATAAAAATATAAAAAAATAAAAATATAATCATGAAAATGGACTATGAAGTCCATTTTCATTGAGCCCTGAAAGCAAATTGACTGCAGTTGCAGGCAATACTTTTTAAAGTCTGGTAACAGGATTGAAAAGACAACAATCATCTTCCTCCCACTGCCATTTGGTATGGGACTAGTAGACTACAGTTCTACTACTACTTGGATCTTAGCTATTGAAGTCACAGCCCCTGAGGGCTGTAAAAAGTTGCTGCTGTCATACATAAATCAGTCTTCTTCATAAAAATGACACAGTTTGACATGTAGGGATAATATTATAAGGTAACTACCATGGAGGTTTCATGCTTGGATATGTTCAAAAAGATGTTTCTCTCTATCCCTGACCGCAAATACTTATTGATGGTTTCTTGTCAGCTGTTTGAAAGCTTTAAAGAACTGCTGTCTCTGCTGGGGTCTGCTCCTTGGCTGAACTTTTCATTAACCTTTGATCACTCTTCAGAGCATTTCCTTAGCAAGCAGCTGAAGAATTTCAAGTGCTGCAGTGAGTCCGTATGTGTGGGGGAGAAGAAGAGGAGGTGAAGATTTTTATAGATGTCTTGTACACATATATCTTGTACAAATACACACCCAAGTCCTTAACTCTGACAGGACTAGAGAAAAAACAAATGGGCATTCTATTTTTAAGATTTTGCAAAAATGTGAAAATGAAGAGGATTTATTGTCTGCAGTTAAGTTACCTCTCTTCCAGCATCTTCACCCCAGGGAAAAGAACAGGAATGGCTTAAAGAAATTTGATTTAGCAGATGCAACTGGTGATGCAAATCTAATTAACCCAGCTCTTCTCTGCTGAGGGGATGAGCACTGGCAAGGCTGTTTCTCTTCCCAGACTCTCAGGTTTGCAAAAAGCTAAACTTTCATACACACTTAGATAGCACCCAGCTACAGATCAGTGTGGAAATGACGGTTCCATCCCGGAGTGCTTGCTGTGCCCTGCGATGGCAGCTGCTTGGCAAGACTGGCCTGAGCTTGGCAGCAGCACAGAACCCCTTGTGGGGGTCAGCACGTGTGTCACAGAGCTGCAGCTTGTTGGCATTGTCCCCAAAACATGGAACACGGGTTCATTCATTAGGTGGAACAGCTCATTAGTGCGCTGTGGATGCGAACACCCATTGTGATACATTTCAGCTTTTGTTCTGCTCCTTTGCAAGTTTAACTTAAAGCATTTTCTCCAAAGCAAACGCACCCCACTAGCATTTGCTCACAGAGGTGCTTTTTTTTGCATTTAAGTACCTTCCTGGGATATGACAGCCTTTCCTGAGTGCTCCACCAGACATTTTTAGCATCCCTTTTCCTCCTGACAACCAGCACATCAAACAGCTTGCAAATTTTCACTAGCTGAAAGTGCAGGGTTGTCTTGCAAGCTGGCAGCTGCACTGAATTTTCAGGAATACGTAGCAGCTGTGGCCATGACTCTTCCCACTCCCCTCTGTTTTGCCAAGGCAGGTTAATTGCTTCTTCATGCAAGCTGTCACCCTGGTTCCAGAAATGCCATTGGATTTGGTGCAACCTGGGGGCTGTAGTCTTTTGGGAGGCTTGTGTTTGTGCAAGGAGGTCTACGAGACTGCAGTGCAGCTTTGGACACTCACCTTACCACAACCCTGGATTGTGTTTTAGATATAAATCTTCATGTGTATCTATGAGTACAGAGTTGGAATGAATTTCAGATGCCTGAAAATAAATATGGCTCTTCTCTTCACAGCAACTCCACTGTTTCCAAAGAGGATTAAATAAATAACAGCATGCTGCTTAAACATAGCATAAATGTGCAAGATGAATTGATTTGAGGATTTGAAGGTGTTAATTTTGTTTGGGGAAATGGCTAAAGAGAGTACCATTAAAGATAAATGAATGGTTCTGGTCTCTAGCTGGCTGCTGGAGAATTGTATAAAGGTTTCAGGTCAGGTTTTTCACTGCTTGCAGGCTTTGCTTTGGGAAGTGCCTGTAAGCAGCAGAAACAGTCTTTAGCTGTGTCTGAAGATGTGGTTACAAGGACACACTCCCCGTCTCCATGGCAGGGGTCAATGCCCCCTCTGATGTGCTGAGACGTGTTTTCAGAGCACTGGGTTTAATCCACAAGGATCATATTCATGGGGACCCCCCTTCACTCCCCCCCAGGGTACACG